CAATTGGCTTAGGGATTTAAGAGGTTTTGATGCTAATCCAGCAGAAGTCAACCAACAGGATGTTTTGGATGTTCATTTATTAAATGTGGCAACTTCAAATAAAACTTGATGTTGAAAAAATAAAATTTATAAAGGCACTAAATCGAGAGTTTATGATTTTTGTTATGAAGGGAATTCCTTACAACCAAGACTTAAAAGCAATGGACCTTTAAGTAATATATCCCTCAGAAGTAGGGGTCCTCATGACATTACGGGCTGGATAAAAAAAGAAAAAAAAAAAGAAGTAGGGATCCTGAATCTATAGACTGAAATCTACTTTAAATAGTGGACTGTTAAGTTGTTTGATGATACCAGTTCCTGTCTCTAGGGATTAATAATATTCCCATTTGAGAAGAAATTCGTATCCCTTGTTTTCAACTCTGGGACCTCACTATAAGTACTCTTGTCTCATCCCGAGTAAAATTGTATCTACAACTTAAAATTATATGTACACTGGAAAAAGAAAACTCTTCAATAAATGGTGCTGGGAAAACTGGATATCCATGTGCAGAAGGATGAAACAACCTCTCTCTCTCACCATATACAAAAATCAATTCAAAATAGATTAAATCTTAAATGTAAGACCCAAAACTATAAAGCTACTAGAAGAAAACATAAGGAAAACACTCTAGGACACTGGTCTAGGCAAAGATTTTATGTCTAAGACCTCGAAAGCACAGGCAACAAAAATGGACAAATGGGACTATGAACTAAAAAGATACTGCACAGCAAAGGAAACAACCAACAAAGTGAAGAGACAACCTGCCGAATGGGAGAAAAAATATCTATAAACTATTCATCTGACAAGGGATTAATATCCATAACCTTAGGAAAATTATATAAGAACGATAAGAATAAGGAACTCAAACTCAACAGCAAAAAAGCAAATAATTCCATTAAAAACAGGCAAAGGATCTGAATACACATTTATTAAAAGAAGTCAAACAAACAGCCAACAGACATATGAAAAAATAGTTAACATCATAATCTCCAAGACAATGCAAATCAAAACCACAAATGAGATATCATCTTAGCCCTGTTAGAATGGCTACTATCAAATAGACAAAAAAAAAAAACAAGATGCTGGCAAGGATGTGGAGAAAGGGATGCTTATGCACTGACATGGGAATGTAAACTAGTACAGTCATTATGGAAAATAGTATGGAGCGTTCTCAAAAAATTACACACATAAAAAAAACTACCATATAATCCAGCAATTCCACTACTGGGTATTTATTCAAAGGAAAGGAAATCAGTATATCAAAGACATACCTCTACTCCTTTGTTTACTATAGTGCTATTCACAATAACAAAGATAGGCAATCAACCTAAGTGTATATCAACGGATGAATGGCCAAAGAAAATGTAGTACATATACACAATGAAAAATTATTTTGCCATACAAAAGAATAAAATCCTGTCATTTGCAGCAACATGGATGAAACTGGTGAGCCTTAAGTTAAATAAACTAGGCACAGAAACACAAATACTGCATGTACTCACTTATACGTGGGAGCTAAAAAAGTTGTTCTCGGCTGGGCACAGTGGCTCATGCCTGTAATCCCAGCACTTTGGGAGGCCAAGGCGGGCAGATCATGAGGTCAAAAGATCGAGACCATCCTGGCCAACATGATGAAACCCCATCTCTACTAAAAATACAAAAATTATCTGGGCATGGTGGCACATGCCTGTAGTCCCAGCTACTTGGGAGGCTGAGGAAGGAGTATCGCTTGAACCCGGGAGGCGGAGGTTGCAGTGAGCTGAGATCACACCACTGCACTCCATCCTGGTGACAGAGCGAGACTCCATCTCAAAAAAAACAAAAGTTGTTCTCATGCAAGTAGACAGTAGAATGATAGTTACCAGAGGCTGGGAAGGGTATGTGTATGGTGGGGGGTGGGGACAAAAAGAGGATGCTTAATGTGTACAAACATAAAGTTAGATAAAAGGAGTAAGTTCTAACGTTTGATAGCAGAACAGAGTGACTAGTTAACAACATTATATTGTATATTTCAAAATAGCTAGAAGGGAAGACTTGAAATACTACCAACACAGAAGTCATAAATACTCTAGGTGATGACTATCTTAAATACTTTGCCTTGATCATTACATATTCTATGCATGTAACAAAATATCCCATGTGCCTTACATATATATACAAATATTATATATCAATAAAAAATTATATGATTTGCAAAAAGCAAATGTAACCACATCTTTTCAATGCCCCACCATTTTTGCAAAGTGAAAGATATCTGTACAACTGCCCTTGCCAAAGAGAAGCTTCTTACAAGGTTAGCTTGTGGGATGATAAAAAAGATGGGAAAACAAGTACTTGGAAATTCAATTATCTGAAAGAGCATTTTAAGCTATCAGGTGAGTACTAAGAAATACTCAAAACATAACAGTAAAGGGCTGAATGACCATGGCTAAATGACAGACAGGTTTATAAAATAAAAGGAGAAAAATTAGTCAATAAGGTGTTAACTTAGAGAAGAAGCCAAGTTCAAAAATGAAAACTAAGGTGAGTGGTGAACAAAGATATTTAGAAACAGAAAGGTATGTCAGAGTCACTCATAAAGGATAAAAAGTTTAGCAAGGGAAGGTCGAGTGAGGGAACTCTGCGGATAAAAGGCAACCATGGCGTCTAGATTGTCTGGAACAGTTCTGACTTCAAACACTTGCCTGTCAAATCACTTTTTCCTGATTTTTAGTTAAGAAAATATGGTCATTTTCCATGACCTATTCACATCCATAATTCCCAGCAAAATGTCTTTAGTATAGCAAAATCTCAATAATTATTTATCACTCATGATAATTACCTGAATACTGAAATCAGAGAGAATATATTAAAAAGAAACACAAAGAACCATTCTTAAATAGTAAAGCATATTTATCAGTGGTCTTTATCTATTTACTAGCACCAATAAAAAACTAGAATCTGGAAGCTCTATTTAGCATAGGAAATTGGTGTCATACTCACTTCATAATATCAGTGCTGGGGAGGGACAAAGCCATAATCTGCCAAAATCTGCACCATGCTTGCCAGGTTTGGGAGTTCTGTAGAGTGGTTACCACTGCCAGGTCTGACTGCCATAGCTCAGGAAAAGGGTGCAATCATTTCTCTTAGCATAGAATAATCTTGAAAAGATGTTTAAGGGACCTATGTAATAGCAAGTCACAGAAAGAGACAATATTATTGGTGTTCAGACATGGTATGTAATAGCTAACAATTGCAGAATGCAGGAACTGATGCATTATCTTACCTAATCAACAACCCTATAGGGGATGGGTACTGTTAAGAACCCCATTTTACAGGAAACCTTGGTTTAGCAAGGTTAAGGAACTGCTTGAGATAACAAAGGTAGTAAGAGGCAGGGCTGGAATTTGAACCCATACAGTCTGGTTCTTCAGGGTGTATACATGATATCTATAACCACAATGCTGCAGGGGTAATTGAACAGGCTGGAAAAAAAGTTTTTTTCTTTAAAGGGCAGATTAATTTCCTCAAAAGTAATCTCTATTCACTTTATCACATACCAGATGCTTATTTTCATCTCTTAGCCTAAAAGTTAGATGGGTACTTAACATGCCAACTTAAAATACTAAACTTTAAATCTTTAAAATGTATCGTATTTTAGAATTTATCATAGTGAAACATGGACAGTCTGTTAGTCCCTAAAACAGTAAAATAAGGCCATTCTCTTCGGATGTAATGACATAGAAACAGATGTAAAATACATATAAACATTGTTTCACTTATTAAAATTATTTGGATCCAAAGGATTACTTTTAATACCTTAACAAAATAAGTCATTTAAAAAGTCAAGTGCCTTTCAGTATTCTTCCAAGTTTCAATAATTGATCTTTTCCATTAAAGAACTTTTGATTAAGTATTCCAAATCAACATGTCATCTAAATATTTCCACATAAACTGTAGCTTTTCCCTAACCTATTCCCTTTTATTAGTACTCATTTAAATCTTACGTTGTCACATTTACAGTTCTTTGAAAGTTTCATCTGATATTCACCAGACCATTCACCTCACAATTTTCCTCCGTCTTTCTAAATAGGTGAATTTGTTTACTGCTAAATCGATAGCTAAGCTATTAAAGGTCAGTATCACGATTTTAAAAGACATGATCACCATCACCAAGATTTACCACAAGGAAATTATCACAAGGTTGGACAAACAGGCTCCAACTCTTCGGGGGAAGTCAGTCAGATCACACAGGGCGGGCAGGGAGGCAAGCGGGGAGGGGGGAGGTCGGAAAAGGCAGTGCTTGATTCAATTCAACATTCACTGCGCCACTTACCAAGCGCCAGAAAAAGGAAAAAAAAAAAAAAAAGCCAAAGAGCTGGGCGTTATTTCGAGTACGGGGCCCGCAGGTAGGCAAGAGCCTGTGGGCGGGGACCCGGCGCCCAGGAGGGAAGGGGCTGGCTCAGAGACGCTAGCCGGGCGGGCACGCCAACCCTGTGGAGATGACCACCCAGGGCCGGGCCTCCAGCTCTTGGCACCCGCACACTCGCCAGCCCAGCTGCCCGCACGCAGGCCAGCCAGCCGCTGCCGCTTACCAGTGGCGTCTCGCTGACTCCCTAGAGGCAGCCCTTCAACGGTTCCCGCTGTCAGAGCACCACCCCGCGGTGGGGTACGTCCAGCCAGCCCGCAGCTCTCGATCCCCGCAGCGCCGCCACTCTCGCGAGAAGTCAGGAAGACCGCGAAGTGGGGGGAGCAGGAGCAGGGAGGGGCACTTAACGGTGGCGGCTGGTTCTGCGCCGGATGCGGGAGAGGGGCGGGCGCCATTGTGCTTCGCTGCGGACTGCTTTTCCACAGTCACTGGCCTAGAACTCCGAGGAGGAAGGCGACGGTGCGGGTCGCTGCGAGCGGAACGCGCCCTGGTCAGTGCTGGCTCAGGAGCAGGGGTAATGAGCTGCGGAGCTCGGTCTTCTCCGTCCCGGGAGCTAGTTCGGGACCAGGCCGCGAGTGGGGGAGGGGAGGAAACGAAGAGGCCTGCGGACGCGGAGGCCGCTTCCTCTCCGGATAGGATGGAGGAGCTTGGTACGGGGCCACCGGTGCGAAGAGGGACACGGCGCAGGCTTCCCCTGCCAGGGGCCTTTCGTCCGGTAGTGGTTTGTGGCGGGTGGAGGGGGCAGATTGTGTGTCTTCCTCAGGGACGTGTGACTGGTAAGGGGAAAAGGCCTGAGCCCTCCTTTGACACGCGGGGCGGCCTCCTCTTGGGCCGCGGTACTGGGGGGTGGGGGTCCTCGAGCCCTGCGGGCAGCGGGTGTCGCGCGTGAGCTCGCCAGTGAGCGCAGGGAGAAGGCGGGCAGGGCTCCGGCTCGCCCAGCCCGGCCTGGAGTCGAAGTGACTTCGGCAGGCCCTTAGATTCGACCAAGATTGGCTTGTTGGTAACGCCAGTTTTTGAATATCGTGACGCCCTGGGAGTTATTTTTGTGTGGTGGCGAATTGTGGAGTTTGCAACTGGAAGTAGTTGATTGTATTAAAGATGGACCTGTTGGCCTAAGAAGTAAAAATATGGAAGGCGCCGGGAGTAGGAAACTCCCTCATTTTGGTGAAACTGCGTATTGAAAATGAATGTGTCCATCCACTCACCCCAAAATGCTGCACTTAATACTTTCTCCCAAGTATCAAAGTAAATATAGTGGGAAAGTATCAGAGTAATAAGTTCATCACGATTAATGTTAAATGTGTCAAAACTAAATTTAGCGAGCTTTTTCCCCCTATTTTGTAGGATTGATTAGATATTTTTCTGATTAGATGTTATTTTAAATCTCCACGTTTCTGTCCAGAACCAAGAGGTGGTGTTAAAGATGAATTTTTGATTTAAAAATCAAACAATGTACAGTTACTAAAAAGGCACACACGTGGTGTAACTAGATCTTTTTCTTGAGATAGCAAAAAGTTAATTTGAGAAATGGGGTCAGTATAATATTTTCATTTAACAACTCTACAGCATTTCGGGAAACAGCACTGGTGTATAGTAGCACCAGACTCAGAAGACCTGGGTTTGAGTCATGATTTTTTTCCATAATTATTTAAGCTCATAAGATTGTCTCAGAAACATGGCAGTTAATTTCTAGAGAGGATTAAATTTGCTGAGGTGGTGTGTGAAGCAGTCACTGTCGGACATAATACTAGTCTTGGTTTTCATCCAGTTTCATGCTGGGTCAGGTGTCTTGAATAAGAATTCCTACTTACTCAAGTACAAATGGTTTCCTTTTTTCTGCTACCCTGGGAGAGGGCTTATTTTCCCAGATAAAGGACGAGGATGCCCAGGTATGTTCTATATGAAGGTGTCAGGTAACAAACATGGACACAAAAGTCATCATCCATGACTCTCCTGTAGCCAGCATTTAGTCCGCTCCATACCCACCTCACATAACTCTTTATCTGCTCTATGTTCAAGAATTGCATACATTTTGACATTGTATTATAGGAAAATAATTTTGTAATAGAAAATCACTCAAATATCTTAAAACTTTTTTTGGAAAATTTGTGATTTGTCGTACTTAAATTACAAATTACAGAGAGCTTCACATTGCAAGAATGAGCTTGACATGGCATCTGCCCTCCACAACTCACTGTTTAGTCATCAGACTAATGTATAAACAACTATTATTATCTTAGTATGACTGTACAGTAGTTCTGTGGGAGCATAGAGGAGGGGAACTTGATCTTGGAAATTTTACAGGATTTGTTTATTGCTTGAACTAAGATGTGAAGGATCACTAGGACTTTGATAAAGAAACTGTGCAGCGTCATGATGTTTTGTTTTAGGAATTCATGATTTTTTCCTGTAGCTGAAATATACATTGAATGGTAAGTTAGAGCCTGACATGAAAGACCTTCTGCACTGTACCAGAAAATTAGTGTCTGGATGTGGTGGCTCACTCCTGTAATTCCGTCACTTTGGGAGGTCAAGGTGAGATGATTGCTTACGGCCAGGAGTTCAAGAGCAGCCAGGGCCACAAAGACCCCATCTTTGCATATGTAGTGGTGCACACTGCTACTAGTAGCTACTTAGGCTGCTGAGGCAGGACCAATCATTTGAGCTTAGGAGTTGGAGACTGCAGTGAGGTATGATAATAGCTTAACTGCACTCCAGCCTGCGCCATAGAGCGAGACCCTGTCTCTAAAAAATAAATAAAAATAAAGTTAGTGCTCTGTTCTGTGGAATGGAGAGCTATTGTGTTCCTTAACAAAATAAAAATAATTTTTAGATTATCTTTACTGATATATCCTTCTGTTAGCACAGATAATTAAGTGCCAGTAATAAAGAACAGTGGGACATGCATGAATGAAATGCAGTGTTGCATTAAACTTCACTTTTAAACAACAAATTAAACTAAGCTAAAGAAGCTTTTAACTGTTAAATAAGTGAATCAACTGATCACATGAGAATGATTACAATTTAAAAGGAATCAGATTTTAAGTTCCTACTAAGATTACTTGAATTCACCAAAGCAGAATTCAGTTACAGTCAAAAATTTTATCTTAATATACAGTATTTGCTAATCATAAGATGAGCCAAAAAGTCTGAGATTGGGGAGGATAAAATTATAATTTGAGAGTTTTAAGGGGTTTAATTTCTTTCTTTCTTTCTTTTTTTTTTTTTTTTTGAAACAGGGTCTCACTCTGTTGCCCAGGCTGCTGCAGCCCTAGTTTCCCAGACTCAAGCAATTGTCGCACCTCAGCCCACTAGGTAGCTGGGACTACGGGCGTGTACCACCATGCCTGACTGACTTTTATATTTTTTATAGAGGCAGGGCTTCACCATGTTGCCCAGGCTAGCCTGCAGCTCCTCAGCTCAGGCAATCCTCCTGCCTCAGCCTCCCAAAGCACTGTGATTACAGGCCTGCTTGTGAGCCACAGTATGCTGGGGTTTAATTTTCATTAATCTTAATTTTCAACATTTCCACCCTGGCGTGAACTTACATGATCAGAGCTCGTTTTTCCTGCCCTCAAATATATTTATCTGACTCTACCAGTTAGACGAGGAAGTTGAATACCTGGTTTTAAAATCACCTGCTGCTCTACACCCATTTTTGTCAACAGCTTAAAAAGAAGGCAAGTTTTGAACCTCAGAAGTAGTTATCTTTCCATTATGATCATTGCACATTAGTGTGATGTTTCACACTTTATAGAAAGAACCCTAAAATGGTTTCCACTCAGCAAATGAAACTTGATGCTTAGAGATTAAATTCACTTCAAGGAGAACACTTTGTCTTTTAAAGTGGTGTAGTGTAGACTTAACATCATAGTCATATTTTCTCATGGGATGTTAAACTTTTTTCTAATTTTTTCACGTTTGGGTATATCATATTCTTGTGTTTTAAATATTTGTCAACTAAAAATCAAGAGAGATGATTTTTTTAAGGCCCAAAATGTGTGTACTTTCACAGTGATTCCCTCATTGACCCACCCTTAGCTTCCATGTCTCCTTGTTTACTATGATTTCCCACTAAGGAAAAAAAATTTTCCCCAGAAGCAGATTTTTTTTTTTTTTTAAAGAAAAGGATATGCTAAGTATATGTAAATAATGAAATTATAACTGTGTTTGTATTTCTGGAAGACTCTTGAAATACTACTTTGGGGCTGAGCATGGTGTCTCACTCTTGTAATCCTAGCACTTTGAGAGGCTGAGACAGGCAGATTGCTTGAGCTGAGGAGTTCGAGACCAGCTTGGGAAACATGGTGAAACCCTGTCTCTACTAAAATACAGGAACTAGCTGGGTATGGTGGTGCGTGCCTGTAGTCCAAGCTACTCAGGAGGCTGAGGTGGGATGATCACTTGAACCCAAGAGGTCAAGGCTACAATGAGCTTTGATTGCACCGTTGCACTCTGGCCTTTGCAGCAGAGCAAGACCCTCTCTCCAATCAATCAGTCAATATTGTATTGGTATTTTGTGTGATTAATCTGGCCTTTGTGCCATGAGTTTATCATATAGTAGTGGTGTACTTTTAGTAATCCAGAACCTGTAATCTTCCCTAGATATTTAAGATAGTTCTCTGGTTAGACTCAGTTAAAATCAGTTTTCAAAGACTGAGGGCATAAGATAATAGAATGGTAACAGTAGAAAAAAGGCTAAGTTATGAAGCTTTGCTCTATGGCTGCATAACAAATCACCTCAAAACCTAGTGGATTAAAACAACTGTTTACTGTTTTTTTACAATTCTACGTGCCTGTTGAGCAGTTCTACCCATCTTGCTGGGGCTTACTTGTGTGCTAGCATTCAGCTGGAGGATTTCCCAGGCTGGGAGATCCAAGATGGCATCACTCATATTTGGCAGCTGGTGTTAGTTGACATCTAGGCCTTGCTCCGTGTGATCATTTATGACACAGGAGTCTCGAGACAGCGTTCCAAGAGAAGCTTATGAGACCTCTTAAAACCTTGCACATCTTAAAAATGTCACAGTGCATTCTCCTAGTCACACAAGACTGAGGTGGGGAAGTAAGATTGTCTCATCCTGGGCAAAGCAGCAACATTGCATTACAAAGGGGGCTAATACTAAGATGAGGAAAATTTGTAGCCATATTTTGTAATTTACCAGAGATTCTTTAGACCACTTAAGAATAGATATCTGGCCGGGCATGGTGGTTCACACCTGTAATCCCAGCACTTTGGGAGGCCAAGGCGGGCAGACCACGTGGTCAAGGGATCAAGACTATCCTGGCCAACATGGTGAAACCCTGTCTCTATTAAAAATACAAAAATTAGCTGGGCGTGGTGGCACGTGCCTGTAGTGCCAGCTACTTGGGAGGCTGAGGCAGAAGAATTGTTTGAACCCAGGAGGCAGAGATTGCAGTGAGCCAAGATTGCGCCACTGCATTCCAGCCTGGCAACAGAGCAAGACTGTCTAAAAAACAAACAAACAAACAAACAACAAAAAAAAAACCCAGATATCCTCAAAAATATCATGCTTGGGATTGCTTTAAAATAGTAAAGTAGCTGGTAGAATAGAGAAGATGAATGTTGATAATGGTTGAAGACTTGATTGGTACATGGACGCTCATTATTGGCTGTACCTTTTGTGTATTTTAAAAAATTTTCATGATAAAAATTTTAAGTCACACTCAGGTAATCTGAACTCCATTTTGTGAAGTAATTTTAACATTATCTTTCACTTAGTTTTTACTAGAAGAGTATTACTTAGTATTTACT